TGCTCAATTCGAATACTTCTTCATCTTGGCTTGTCTAAGCTTCGTTTTGTTCTTTCCTTCGAACTTTAGCATTGTAGGTGGTCCTTCGATTTTAACTCCCACCCCTTGCTTATGCCTACAAAAATATATTTCTTGCTGATCACTAGTTCACCTTCGATTGGTGAATATAGCTTATAAGCACCAATCAAAGAATGACTTATGAACACCAAGCCTATACTTTGATTACCCAACTCCTTCCTTGACTGTTCAGGTACATGCCTGAAACACATTGATCCCCAAAACTTTAAGATGACTCATATTTGGTTGATTCATCTCTAATTGTCCTTTGATCATGCCATGCTTGAAGATGGCATATCCTTCAACCCAATAACTTTCCACGTGTTTCTTTGGATAAGATAAGAACTTTTCAAATATTCTTCTTTTTGAAGCGCCCATTCAGGTAACATGTCAATCGAAAGGTGCCTTCCTTGTAACGCTTCGAATGGCTTACATCTCCATGTTCGAAAATGAACCTTTCAATGGCGCTCATTGCCAGCTCTCCCAATCAAAGGCTTCATAAAATCCTTCTCACGTTTTCTTTCGAACTAGCCCTCCTTCGATCTAGTGTTTCACTGGGCTTTAAATTTTCCTACATACTGTTGTCGAAGTTGTTTCGACCCAAAGCCCTTAGGCATATTTTCAGCCTCCGACCTACATTTTGTCATGTACACTTATTTTCATTCTTTCAGCTGTGCCATTATGCTAAGGCATATAGGGTGCCCTGGAAATCATTTGAAGCTCTGGAAGTCACACATCTTGGTGAAAAGTGAAATTAGTTGAAAGGCCATTGCTTAGGAGGAGAATTTATATGATCAATTCTTGGTCAACCTTGAGCAATTAGGGACCTTAATAAGTATGCCTTAAATAAAAATGGGAGGGAAAATTTTGGGGTACAACAGTGCAGGTAATCCATAGTGAAGGTGGTTTACCTTCAATAGTTCGAGTCGGTGTCATTGCTCTGATACGTAACACTCGAGGGGATGAGCGCTTGTTGTTTTATTGTTGTTATTATTTCAGTTTATTGAACCTTAAGTTGTTGTTCTTTAAGTACTTATCATTTGAAGTTGTTTCAGTTGAATATTTGATTCCGCTGCGAAGTTATGGAAGTTGTTGATTTTAAAAAGATTAATTTATGTTGTTATTGGTTGATCAAAGTTAATGTGTTATGTATCTGTAATGAATGCTATTGTTTTAAGTTGAAATTGTAGCATCCTGATTTAGTTGTTGAATTTTTATAACTCTGATTTTATAATAATTGTCGGGTATAATTGGCGTGTTACAAAGTTGGTATTAGAGCAAGTTGGTATGTCCGACCAAGTTATCTAATGTTGTTTGTTCCTTAGTACGCGACAAGTGTGTGAAACACTGTCGGTGGTTGCTTTCTTTTCTAATCAATTATTTGCAGGAGTTGGTTTGAAGATAAGTGGTGGAAAAGCTTTGCTTCTCGGATATGTTTCGATTGTAAGATGTTAGTTCAGTATGCTGCTGATGGTGATAGTACAAGTATTGTTGAATTTTTGTTGTTTCCCGAATCCGAAGGTGACATGGATTAAAGACTTTGTTTGTTAATCAAGTTGGAATGTCTTGAGGGAGGATGATCAGACATTGTTGATGTTTACTTCTCGAAGGATGAGGAGAAATGTGACGGTCGTTGATATACGAGTAGAGTGTAAATCCCTGATGTTTCAGGAGGTAATTGTTGAGTAACAAGGATAATTTTTAGAAGATGGAATTTAGAAAGTTGCGATGTTTCAGCAATGCTGGTGGACTGTGAAGTTGTCGGTTTGGGTAGCCCTTGCGTATGATGTCGATGTTTGGATGGTGATAGAGTGATAGATTGTTGTAGACCTTGTCGTGGGATCCTTGCGAGTGATTGTAAAAGTTGTTGAAGTTGTTAAAATGTTTTGAATCGCGAGTCAGAGTCGAAAATGCGAGGAGATGAGTATGATTTCAAGTATGATAAGTGTTGGTACTGGTACAAAGAATTCTGTCTGATGTTATTGTAAGGTGTGTATTAGTATGTCGCTGCATGACGTCGGTGTTCACATTTTCAGATAACTTTAGAAATTCATATCTTGTGTTCCTAGTATCGGATTGGAGTTCCATTTGCGTTATAGTTATTTTCAACAAATTATTATTACTGTATTTTTTATCATTATATTATTATTGTTAATTATCATCTAAAACTATTATTACTTATATGTACTTAATTAATATTAAATTCATTATTAATTTTATTTTTATTATTTTGTTGTTGTTTCTTTTAAATAATTTTGAGCAAAGTCAAAGAGGGTCAAGAAACCCTAATTGTGTTCTCAGTGGCGGCCCTTGTCTTCATTCATCCCTAAGCTACAAAAGTCCAAAAGCGCAAGCCTAGAAATGAAAAATGAATCAATAATTGAATCAAATCTTAGATTGAAAAACATTTTTTTAATTACAATGGATTTACACATGATAACGTCCAAGTGCATTACAAGACATAAACCTAATTCTAATTTCAAACAGAATCACAATCAAATCTTCAAAAATCCAATAAAATCAATTACAGTCAAAAACCAATTCTAAATCTTCAATCAGACTAATTATAACCACAAATCATATATAATTTTCCTAATATATCAATCTCTAAAAGCCTATAAAAACCTAATTCTAAAACTAACTAGAAGAGAGAAAAATTTGCGAACAGAAGAAGAGATTGAGGAGAAGGAGAAGAGGGATCTAGGTTTCAATTCTTGACACCCTAGATCTAAGTTACGCCACCATCGTTACCATCGTTATCTTCAATCCTGTACCTGCGAATCAAAGTAAGAATAGGAGATTAGAAAGGAGGAACCAGAAATAGAGTAAAATGAATCACTGCAAATTCAAGTAAGCATAAGAACTCTTAGCTTTAGGGTTTGATTATGATGTTTGATATTTGATTTGGTTCTAGACTCATGGGAATTTATGGATTTAGGGTATGATTAGGTTTAGGTTAAAACATTTAGGATTAGGGTTCTTCATACTTAGGGTTAGGGTTCTTCAAGACTTAGGATTAGGGTTCATCTCAGAACCCTAGGGTTTTTGGGGTTCGTGGGGTTTGGATGAATATAGGGTTAGGGTTCTTGGTTTGGATGAAGACCTTCAAGGTTATGGGTTTCTCATGGTGGTTTTTGGATGAAAGTGGTGGTGCCTTGGAGCAGCCACCGACGGAAGTGATTTCTGGTCGACGGCGCCCAGGGTGATGCGATGTTCGATGAACTGACGTTTCTAGAGAGAAGCGAGAGCTTCTCTCTCTAGAATTTGGTTTCTGTTTAGAGATGAGGCATAGAGAGAGGAAAGAGAAGAAAATGGGCCTCAAGCCCTGACGTTTGTTTTTATAAACCTCCTAGATCCCATGCATCTCCCATATCTTGCACCCTCGCTCTCCAGTCTTTGATCAGGACCAGATGCCCCAGATAGTCCAGCCCCACGGTAGCCCCATGCGCCTCATCACGTGCAATCTAAGTGGACCTCAAACAAACCTCATTCGGGTCAAGCCCAATTATTCTAACACCCCCTGTTTCCACTACATAACTGAGAATACACCTCCCCCTGCATTTTGGGCCTAGTTCAATTTTTGAACTTGGGCCCTTACTTGCCAGACCCCCTCTTTTAATACTCAAGAATGATGTACACCCCCTCACGCAATTGAGCTTAAATCCAATACCTGAATTTAAGGCCCTATTATTCACACCCCCAAATTTTTATTAACTAACTAAATTTACACTTTGTGCATTTTTTTATAATAAAACTAATTTATTTTTTATAATTTATTTATTTATTTATTTATTAACCTATTATTTTGCATAATTAGTAAATAATTGTAATATTTATTTTTATAAAAATATTTAACATGTTTTTAATAAATTATAAAATAGCTATTTACTAATTAAAATCTTTTTTTAAAATACTAACTCTTTTTGTATATTTACATTAAATATTTTTCATTTAAAATTGCATCATATATTCGAAAACATCTAACCAATCAATTACTAACTACTTTCTACTAACATAATTGAAATATATTTATTTCCAAAAAAGGATTATGAAGGTTTCTTTTATCGAATGCGAACTTCGTCTACAATTCTGCTTTCACACACCCAGACTTGGTTCAAGGAGAATTAGAGATATTTCCATAATCTATAAGAAAAACTAACCAAACAACTACGAACTACGAATTGAGACTCTAATTCCTCATAAGAGGATACGTAGGCATACGAATTAAAAATCGTGACGAGTTCCCCTAATTAAAATTAAAACCATATTCCTAAACCTTAAACCTAAAACCCTTGTATCTTTGTGAACAAGGTAGATAAGGAGTGTCTAACACCTTCCTTTCGTCTAAAGCGAGCGAAAAACTTAGAATCTCTGATCAAATTAGAGTTATCTTTTATATTTCCTTCCTTAGATAAAAATTAATGATGACGACTCTATATTTCCAACCGGTTATTACACATATAAGCTATGAAGTGCAGTAATTTTTACACATGTCAAATACACAATATGACTATAGTAAAAGAAAATACACAATATGACTCCAGAGTCCTACTCACGCTATCTTACTACATTCCTTCATTCATCTACTGCACAAACCAAAAATCTAAAGTTAGAAAGTTATATCTTACTTTTAATATATAAGCAACTAAAATAATCAAATGGAATAAAAAATATTTACCTTGGTCTCAATACATAGAAGCAAAAAGATACTTGTTTTTCTCATTCAACGAAAGAACGCCATCAGAAATGAAAATCATCTTCATTTCATTCAACACTTCTTGCACCATTTCTTGAACATTTCCTTCCATCCTTTTTCTACTAACTTACACAAAATATTTCAATGACTCGACCAATTCTCTCATAGAACTTATCATTCCCTCTTTGTTTTAATCTTTATTAGCACATGTACATTGTATATTTTCCTTTGTTGCGGAACATGGTTCCTATAAATCAATATAAAAAGTTGAACATTCTTCATCTACACTTGCTTCTTTGCTCATGACATTGTCCACATCATATGCATGTTCTACTTGAACTCCACTTGCTCTATCTTTCACACATATCTACAATGTCATTCAAATTCATAATAACCTTAAATCAGAATCTTTTGACATAAGAAATAAAATATATTAGCAGTAAAAGGGAATACCTTGACATATTCATTCCATGCATTTTTATCTTCGACGGTAATCAACAAATCTTGAATATGTGTTTCATCAAATGCTCTAATTAAATTCTAAACATACAATTGCATAACGTATTCTCATCAAGCAAAATCAACAAATCCTAATTATGAAAGATAATTAAAATGCATGAAAAAATGCATGCTAGTAAGAGGGAACAAACCTACAGAGTACTGCACAATTGAATATATCATTTTGTTTCCTATTACAGACTAAGTTTATGTATTAATGAACTACTAATAGTCAATTCCATAGTACCACAAATACATTTCAATTGAAAAATTGTAGAAAACTGAAGTTTACTGTAAGCCATGACTAACCTCATACATTTCACACTTCTAATGGGCCTTTTGCACTTTTTTCATGGGCATCTTACCACAAATAGTGGTTCTTTTTAATATTGTCAATCAAATTTTAAACCACGTCTTTTGAGTTGCTCATTAGCACACCTCCAACGGCCGCATCGAGAGACATCCTCTTAGAAAGAGGAGATTGTTATAGAAGGTATGTATCACTAACCACTTATCTAACACATAAAATGGGAAAAGTATCAACAAATCTTTGATGCGTTCCCATGCATCAAATAGAGACTCATCATCTTTCTGCCTAAAGTTATTGGTTTCCCCTATTACTTGGGCAATTTTACTTGGCAGAAACTATCGCACAAAGAAAGCAGCTTTAAGTTCTACCCAAGTTATAGTGTTCACGGGAAGAGATTGGGGCCAAGTTTGGGCTCGATCTCGCAACGAGAATGGAAATAGTCCAAGGTGGATGGCATTTTGGTCAACTCCATTGGCCTTTAAAGTGCCTATTTTTTCTCGACTTTTTACGCCCCCCTTTTTATTTGGTTTGATTTGCACTTTGATTTTTTCTAAAAATATTCCTTCCTTTAAGGTCTTTTTCACGAGTTTCTTCTTTATTTAATCCTAAAAAAACAAAAACTTAAACACAAGTGAATTATAAAAATGAGGGTTGTCTCCCATGAAGCACTTTATTTAACGTTGTTTAAGTTCAACGGTCTCGAGTGTTTAAACACTCAGGGTGGTTTATTTTTCTTTTTACGGTTCCATGCCCATATTCCCATCCACTTCTCATACTTACCACTCCCTTTATCTTTACTTTTATGGGGTGGCAAGAATTTCTCAACCTCCTTTTTATTCACTTCATCTTCTTCTTCCTTTCTAATCCTCTTGTCTTTTCCAGCCTTTTTATCCTTTTCCCCCAACTCATCCTTTTCCCCCGACTCATCCTTTTCTTCTGGCTCAGGTGTTTTTTTTGTTTATTACTAGTCTTTTCTACTTCAATCAGATATCATAAGACATATGTGTAGGGGTTCTCCATCACATTGTTCATTATAAAATCCAACCTTTCATCTCCTACTTCCATACTTAATGTCCATCACTTAACATCAGCTATAGTACGTGCAGTACACAAGAATGGCCTACCCATAATGATAGGCACATGTGGATGCTCTCTAATTTCCATGATGATAAAATTAGTGGGGATATAGAGATGCATCCTTTTGACAGTAACATCCTCTAACACCCTGATTGGAAACTTGATTGATCTATTTGCCATTTACAGAGTCACACTTGTTGGTTTCATCTTTCCTATACTCAATTTCCTACATATAGCCAGGGAATTAAGCTGACACTAGACCCTAAATCATAAAGAGCTTTACTAATTTTCATTGTGCTCAATTGACACTAAATTGAAAAACTTCCAGAGTCTTTTAATTTTTGCGACATATTTTGAATAACAGCATTGTTTGTGGCTGTCATGGCTATTATCTCGTGCTCTTCCAACTTCCTCTTTTTCAAGAGAATTTACTTTAAGAATTTCACATAAGTCGTTTATGTAGAGTTTTTAAATCATGTCGAAAAACTTCGTGAATTGCGTATCTACTTTGGCCTTGACAATCCTCTTAGGGAAATGTATCTTGGGTTCATAGAACGAAGGAGTAATGTATGGTGCTACCTGTAACACCCTCTAACCCCACATAGGCATAAATAACATAATCATAGTAAATTAGCATACATCACAAAGAGGGCATCACAATTGACTTCACAAAACGATAAAGAAAACTCAAACACGCATACTGGTCATGATCATAACACGTATTCAAATTCACCTTTCATACACCAATACAAAATATACATCTCGCAGCGGAAAAATCATCTCAATAAAAAGATATAAATGATTGAAATCCCATACTGACAATCATATCATAAGTACTAGGAACTGAGGCCAAACATCATGTAATCTTATACATATCCAAATAAAAGAGAGTAATAACAAATATCTCTCAAAACAAATTAAACACGAGTTTAAATATCCCCCGTGTTACATACACCAAATAAATGACTCACTATCTAGGAATAAGCAGATAAATAAGGATCTAGCTCCTCCTCTAATCCTAGAAAGAAGCACTGTTATCTCCTGTACCTGAGAGATGTTGTATAAAACATCATTTCAACAGAAGGGTGAGAATTCATATCATTATAAGAATATATAATCATACATACATACATACACACACCAATAGAAGCAATGTAAAACATACGTACACCAATATGAATTCATCACTCTTCATAAAACCATGTATTAGGCATAACATTGTCCAATATACCAATCCACATATACAACATAGCTTATCAATTCACATTCCAAATGAAATTCACACTAATATTACATAATGAGTAATAATGCAACAATTCAAATCAACACATGTGACTCCAATGAAACTTAAATGCATTATGCATGTGGTACCAATGTTATCCTTACCAGTCCTTCTAGGTCCACATCTCCAGGATAGATAACCACCAATAAAAGCTCGATTCATCTTTAATATTTCAAACCCCATTCAGAATTAGATTTGGGACAAGTCAATAGTTCCCACGAAATTACCAAACACTGCCTCTTGACACAAATGATTCATGTGCATGTGCAATCTCAACAACTCATCACATAATTCAACATATTTTGAATTATCTTCACAAAATACATCTTTCATGCCAATCAATCACATATACACAATCTCACAATATAAATCATCTCAACACATTATTATAACATGTATCAATTAGATACAAATCATGCTATAGTCAAACATCATCAAATTCCAACACTTACATACATAACTCAAGTGTTAAGTTTCTCATGAGATGGATTCACAATGTATTTCCTCAACTGAGACACATGGAACACATCATGGAGATTAGAAAGTGACATTGACAAAGCAATCTGATATGCCACTTCACCTACTTTCTCAGAAATCTAAAAAGGACCAATAAAATTGACATCAACTTACGCGACTTCAAATCTCTACCAACACCAGTTACCAGAGTAACCCTTAGAAATACATGATCATCTATCTCAAACTCAAACACCTTCCCCCTCTTATCATGATAACTCTTCTAACGACTCTGAGAAATCTTCCTCTTTTCTCGAATCATCTTAATCTTATTTGTAGTCTGTAGAACTATCTCAGGTCCAACCACAACACTCTCACCAAATTCGTACCAACACAAAGGCGTCATACACCTTCGTCCATATAAAGCCTCAAATGCTTCCATTCCAATACTTGAATGGAATTTGTTGTTATAAGTAAACTCAATAAAAGGCAAGTGTAATACGGTGGGTGAACTGACTTGGTTTTGCATTTTATCATAAATGTCGCGGATAGCAAGAGTCGCTACCGAATTTTCTTTTATCCAATAAGGAAAGGGTGAAAAGAACAGGAAAGACCTTTTTTGATTTTGATTTCGGGGGGTAGGTTATGAAAAGGGAAGGTGTTAGCACCATTTTCATCTGTAGTTATCTACGAGCTCTTAATCTCTTAGCTCACTTTGAAAATTTTCTTTTTTTGTGTAAGTGTTTGAAAATATTTTGAAAAGTTGCCAATGTAAGGCGAAACTTTATAATGATTCTCGTATTGCTCCTCGAGAATGCGTACAAAGTGTTTTGAAAATATTTCGAAAGTGTCTGTGTGAAATATTTTTTGTTTTGAAAAGCTTTGTGAGCAAGTGATTAATAGCGTTCTACCTACTCAAGGTCGTTCTTGTATTTTCCTCCTCCTTTAGATATTGTTATCCTACTATTAATTAGTAGAAAGCTCTATCGTTGGATGTGAATGGACATGCGTGGGTCATCGTACACTCATCGAAGGCAACTCCTAATAATGCTTTAGCAATTATCATTAAAGGACTATATCATTTATCGAAGGCAACATCGAAAGGGTTATCGAGGGACTATGATCTTTGTATGTAGGGACTTTGCTAAAGCGTCCCTACGTTCGAGGGACACGATTGTTTTACAAAATGAAACAAGAGAGGTTACCCTAGAGGTGTACGTCTGTAAGTGATTTGTGTTCAGTCATTTTTAGTCTTACAATTAGGGTTAGCTACTGATTCGTTATTATTCTTTCCATGCAAGCATAATTACTAAGAAATAATATAGCAAAAACTGTAAAGGTGCTTTTGTACCCCAAAATTTACCCTCTCATATTTCTCAAATACATGTCAAGTGAGGTCCTCAAATTGCTCAAGGAGGTCTAACTCTCTCCTAAGGCAGTCTACCTCAGATTAGGGTTTCATTTTGCATCAAGATGCTTGAGTCCAAAGGATCCCAAATGCTCACCATTGTCCTAATATGTTCTCAAGATCATCCATGTCAAGTTTCAAGCCTTGCAGAGGAAGTTTGCTCATCCAATTGCTCAAATACCTAGAAATCGACTGTGCTAGGTCAAAAGTCAACTATGGCTCATATACAGTCAAACTTCAAGATTTTTGGTCAACATCCTCATTTTGAAGTATCATTCATCATTTGATCAAGCATAACTTTATCATACTTTATCATAAATGACCCATCCAAATCTAATTTTGAAGAGAATGCAATTCCCTACAATTAATCTTCAACTCACAAGTTCAAAATATGCACTCACAAGAAGATATGAATTTGGACATTATAGGTCAGTTTGAAAAGTTAACAAAAACACCTTTTAGGTCAAGGCTTCATACATGAAAATGTAAGACTCAATTGAGATGAGACCAAAAGGGTTGCTTAGAGGACATCCTAAGCTTTCTAAAAAGTCCAAGAACACATCTCTAGGGTCAAAATTGAGAGAGTTATGCATTGGCCAAGTTGACATTTTTTGCAAAATTGCCAAAAGTCAAACATGCTCAAATTTGTATTT